GAATTTGAAAGTCATCTAAGGGGAAGGATGCTTCAGGGTTTGCATGAGGTGTTTTTATATTTGAATCCCAAGTTATACAAAAGTAAAGTGGTGATGAAAAAGATTGGCAGGTTGAAGTTATTCGTAAATATAAATTGTAGAGACGCACCGAATGTTCGGCCTGACAAATTATTTATTCGGTAAAAATTTTACATTCAGCTTCGGCCATTTTAAAGGCCGAATAGCCGAAGTGTCATTTCCGTTTAAGCCATAATTGTTGAATATTATTAGCTGAAAATTTGTTTTGGCTATCATAGCTGTTTAAACAACTGAATTTGAACTAGAGATTGAATATTATCTTGACAAAGAATTGTTAGCTAGACAGCTGTCTCCTGTTTTTTACAATAACTTGTTTTTCATTCTAAAAAAATTTTTCTTTAAAATTTTGCGTTTTTTGGTGCTCGGCCTTTGGCTTCGACTGACGAGTAGATCAACTATTCGGCTTTCGGCATTCATTATTTGGTGCATCTCTAACGAAAAGGGCCCTTTGATAGACCATGGTGTGTACTGAAAAAGGCGGTTGATCCATTTAAATGTGAGAACAATTGAATATGCCACACAAACTGTTTTGCTGTATTGTTAAATTAATGAACAGTGCTTTAATCCTTTTCATATTCTTAATTTAGCTAATAATATTTTTTTATTAATTTTTATTATGTTTTTCCCCTCGCTATATCTATTTAATATGTTTGAAATTTTTAATTTCTTTGACGCTTATTATAATGATGTTTTATTAATGTTTTGTAGTTTTATGTGGTTTTATTTGCATAATGATTCATGACACTGGTCAACACCCAAAAAATCATAGTTGTGAAGTTCGAAAGAAAAATTTAAAAGTTCGTAAAAGTTCGATAAAGTTCAAAGATAAATAAAGTTCAAAAAAGTTCATAAAAGTTCGAAATGCGACTGCCTCAGCTCAACATTAAATTATTTTATTTTCTAAATCAATCCGTCACACACAGAGAATATTACAACATGGAAGACAAAATGAAATGGTGAACTACAAAATTAAAATTTGAATAAATGAAAACATGTAAAAAAGCTGAAATTTTGAGGGAGATGACTTGGTTGTACCATGTAATGACAGAGAAGATGAAAAACATTTTGTCGTTCAAGTGAATTGTAAAGGAGAAAAACAAATAAAGTTAAAAAAAGAATACAAATCATATTTAAAAGCAAATGACTAAACAAAAATATTACAAAGGACCGCAAAAAATTATTTTATATAATATTTTATGGTACTAAGGCAACAATGTTTAGAAAATATAAATTAAATCAAATGATGTTCCAGAAATAATTGAGACACAGTTACCATCTTAACAAAAAATTATAATAATAACAACTTAATAAAAAATTTGAGTTTTTTTTCTTGAAACTTTTTTATATAAAAACAAATACACATGTACATATATACATAAACATCTATCAAGTATTTTCTTGAAGATTTTTCATAGCACTTAGAAAACATTATAGACTTACAGTTATTAATATGTCAGTAATCAGTCCACATTGTCATCACTGTCAGCATCAGATGACCAATCGATATACTCGTCAATATAGTTAATATCTTCAATTTTTGTTACTAGCTGTAAGTTGCAATGTACATTAACAATCTTCTCAACCGTCTTGCATGCAAGTCTGTTGCGTTTTTTTGTGTGAATAAAGTCAAATGTTGACCAGTTACGTTCACAAGACCCAGCTGATGTGACCTGTGACAATACTCTGACAGCAATTTTTTGTAATTCAGGTGTTTGTGCACCGAATGACATCCACCACTTGTGGCCAGGCATCGTCTTTGCTGCAGCGATAGCCATAGGTCGGCCAAATACACCTTGACGAGCTCTATAAACCGAATGTTGTTGTACCACTTTTACCTGTCAAGTGTACAATCAATTTAATAATAGTTAAGTATTACAGTAATACTAAAGGTGTATGACTTAAAAATAAAGACCCGCTTAAATTACAAAAATTTATCTGTGAAACTTAACACTGGGTTAATAATAGTAGTTTCTAGATGCACATAAACATTAACTCACCTGTGATTGCACATCATCTCTGTACATCTTTTCAACAATGTTGTGAAATCCTGTCATAACTTCTTCATTTTCATGTTGTTGATATGCTTGATATTCAGGATCTAAAACAAACCCAGCTGAATGGAGATCTGTGTGGAGCATTTTC